TATCATTATACTATAAAGGACCCCAAAACCCTATTCTAATTATTAAGGCCCCTCTATTAGCGCTTCAACTCTCAAAAAAACTCAAGGCGGTGCAGGACTGCAGTTGGGCAGTGCCGTCGTCAAGGGTAATGGAGGTAATGACAACGTTTGTATTTATCCAGGACACATGTTTAGTGGTGGTTCATGATCAGGTCCTTTGCTAATTTTACCTTTGTGGGCTTATAATCCTAAACCCTAACCGACCCTAAACCCTAAACCCTAAACCCTAAATTAAGGTTTAGGTTTTGTGGTTCGCAGGTCCAGGTTCAGGTTCCACACACAGGTGTCATTGGTGGAATAGTACTTCACTTTCTGGTCTTGGCTTTGAATTTCTCAGATGACTCCGTGCACGGTGGCGACCTCGAGAAGACGTTCGCTAAGGTGGAGTTCAAGCTGAGCCTAAACCCTAAACCCTAAACCCTAAACCCCTAAACCCCCTAAATGAGCCAAGGCCGGAAGCTCATGGCAGAGGCGATCCAAGCCGAGGCTGAGGAGGAAAAGCATCCTCAGCCCAGCGAGCCACAGGCCAAGCCTTCGAAGAGAAGGCAGAAGGCCCCTAAACCCTGAACCCTAAACCCTAAACCCTAAACCCTAAAGGAGCCCGAGCCGAAACAAGAGGGTTGGCTTGGAAACATGTGGACTATGATTGCAACCTTGCGCGGGTTTTATGCACACCTCTGATCCAGCAACCGCCCAAGCACGAGAAAGATTTATCATGGATACCCTACAGTTGATGATATAAATCCTGTATTACCCATAAGAAGGAAAAGGTCATGCAGGATCTATATCAACAACAGTATCACATAATATAGGGGCCGAAATAACTACCTATACTATTTTGAGGGCTCCTTACTATAATTACAGTATAATATACCCCAATTTCCTATCCTAATTATAATTACGGCTCTGACATGACTTCAATTATATACTATAATTATGGTAATTATAATAAGGAACCCCTATAACCCTATTCGAATTAGTAAGGCCTCTATACTCGTGGCCTCGAAGGCTGCAGGCAGGAACCCGGCGTCTGCGCTGCCGTGCTCGTAGCCCTGAAAGTCCCACAGACCCTGTACTACCCTAAACCCTAAACCCCTAAAGCCCTAAACCCCTAAACCCCTAAAGCCCTAAACCCCTAAACCCCTAAAGCCCTAAACCCTAAACCCTAAACCCCTACACTCCTCAAACCCTAAAGCCCTAACAGTAGTCGAAGCAGGCATCACGAGACCAAAGCACTTGGGGGCCCCTCCCTTAGGGTTTAGGGCTTAGGGCTTGGGGTTGAGGGTTTAGGTTTTAGGGCTTAGGGCTTAGGGTTTCGGGCTTAGGACTCCGGGGTTTAGGGCTTAGGGCCCCTCCATGAGGTTGAACATCCTCTTGGTCTTCGTGCCTCTGGGGTGCGCCGGGGTATGGCTTGACGACTTGGGAGCTTTCCAGACTTGTGACTCCGCGGGTGAGGGGAATCCCCAGTAAAACATCTACATCTGGCATGAATATCCAGCTGTCAGGTCCATGTAGCGCAAAATGCTCAAGTATACTGGTGCCGGAAGGGTTTGAATCAGGTTTTAAGCTGCACCGTGCCCTAGCTCTGCATGATGTTCATGGGCTCAGTGCCTGGGCCTACAGCTGCTTCTGAATCCAGGCTACAAGCCACGAACCCTGTCTTGAAATCGTGGGACCCAACCAGCCTAACTTTAAAGTTCCGAAACTCTGGGTACAGGGTTTGGGTGTTTTAGGCTTCAAGTTTGGATCAATCCCAACTCCCAGATTCCGGCCTGTTGTGCTGATGATGTTTTCCTAAATGGATTCGAAGCGCCCGTCCTGAGTTTGCTATGACTTCCGGGTCTGAAGCTGGGGCTTTTAGAGTTAACGGTTTAGGGTGAGATGTGTGGGTTCTCGGGTTGCGTGCTGTTTCGAAAAGCTTGTGACACTGCCTGATTCTTGAGACAAGGATCTGTCTCAGAGCCCTAAACCCTAAACCCTAAACCGTGCGTTGATTTGCGGGAATGTTTCGGAAATCGCAGCTTTTCAAGCAGGTCGTGGTTTTGAAACGTTCCCCCGAAGTTATAAGTACCCTAAATAGAGTTACCCCAATTATAACCCTATTTTTAACCGCCTTACTAAGTCCCCCGGGCCTCCAAGTAAACCCAGAACCACGTACTCCCCACTGTTCCCGCACTGCAAGACGAAACCCTCAAGTCTCCGTAAGCCAAACCGAAAGCCTTTCGACCCCAAAGCCTACTATAGGGGCCTTATTAAATAATTCCCAATACTATTTTGGGGGGGTTCCTTATTATAATTATGGTATGATGGGCCCCAAAACCCTAGTCTAATTTTTAAGGCCCCTACATTAAGCCAGGATTGTCAGCCACTACCAAGAGTGGGGCCCACTCTCGGCCCGAGTCTCAACAGATCCGGGAACGACTCGTCCGGCAGCCCCTTTCGAGTAGATTTGTTCGGCGAGTTGAGAACTACAAGAAAAAACTGCATAGTTGGATAGCAGGTGTGGGATAAATAGTTCTTGGTTGTTGGTGAATTCGGAAAGATGTACAAGTATAGGGAGTCACCCTGTTGCTACCCTGAAAAGTCCCATTATCATGCCGGCAGACGCACTGTTGCCACCAGCCGGATGGCGGGGCTTGTTTGGAGCATCTGGTGGTTGACGGTTTAACTTCGTGGGGATGGGGCGGGTGAGATTCAAAAGGGGCTGTGACATCTAAGCCCCAGGCAACTATCAAGACAGAGACATGCACAGTTCGTTTATTTTCACGGCCCAAACCGAACAGGGATAGCAGAAGAGTTGCGGGAACAGATGTTGACTGTGTTACAACGCTTGGCTTTTGTCTAACCGTCTACCAGCACTCTATTTAGGATAAGGCTATGTGTTTCTTTGTGCTTTGTGAGTGTGTACATATATATATATATATGTTATGTATGTATGTCTGTACGTAGGTAGGTAGGTAGGTAGGTAGGTAGGTAGGTAGGTAGGTAGGTATGCATGTATGTATGTATGTATGTATGTATGTATGTATGTATGTACGTATGTCACTGTATGCATGTCATTGTATGTATGTATGCATGCATGTATGCATGTGTGCATGTGTGCATGTGTGCATGTATGCAT